AGAGACTAAACAACACGGCAACCTGGACCCGTTTATCAAAACGCATCAAGTATCACAACCCTGACTTTCAACACGGTTATACTTTACAGGGTGGGCACCTGGCCTTGTCTCATTCTTAGGTGAGCTCTGTTGGCTAGACCCATATGCGACGTCCAGTGATGGGGCTGGTAAGATGGCAGTCGATTCTGTGTTTAACTTAGGAGAGTGATTCACCTTGATGCCAGGGTAATACCTGCTTGTCGGTCTCTCAGGGTGATTAGTGAGGGGGCAGAAGCCAGATCACATCCTAGTAACCATGGTTTCTGAATGCACTTTAAGGCCGCTAGAGAGTAATGCAGCTGGCTCTACGCTACTGATTTTCAGAGTTGTTCCTGACATCACAGAAAATCCTATGAGATTCCATCCTAATGGCTGGTCACCATATATCTGGGTGCGTCATTCCAGATAACCTTTGTTGTACTTCTTCCAAATATTTGAAATTTATTACTCAAGACTGATGATGCCTCTAACACAGAATGTTTGGGAAACCAGTTAAGGCTGGGCAGGGACTGGATAATCTCTTTTGCTGGATAGGATGGGTAGTTGTTATTAAATACTTAGGCCCTAGAAGGGCTTTATAAATGATGATTGATTTAGGGCCTGTGTCATTTTGTAAATGGCTTGGCATCAGGGTTGTGCTTTCGTGTTCCAAGAAAACAACTTAGTCTCTTACCTAATGAAAAGTGGATAGAATTTGGATTCCAAGATTCAAGTTTCAATATAAAGCAAGCTTTTCTGCTTTCTGCTTTATTTTGTTTAAGTGCCACTTTAGGATGGTCCCTCTTGTTTTAGAACTGGATGTAGAAATTAACAAAGATGAACTTTTCAGAGTCCCTTGTATATTTTGAAATCGTGCTGTATCTCTTTTAGGTCCTGCAAATCTTTTACTTAGCACCCAAAAAGGGGGAAAGAATTGTGTGTGTGTTTATGCATACACACAGAATCAGAAAAATAAATGCTTGTTCTTTCTCAGAATTATAGCATCGATTCCTATGTTCAAATATATTTGATTCACATTTAAGAAAAAAGGAAAAAGACATGACAAATGAGCATGACCAGTAAGACAAGTTTTGGAAACATACTCAGTGATACTGTTTTGCCCGTTGAAACATGCAAACCTGTCTGCTCTGGGTTATGTCCCATGTAAGCCCTTGAGGAGGGAGCCTGCCCGCCTTCTCCTGTGATTGACATGGCACCTCCTCCCCCTTCCCAGTTCCCCAATGATGAGAAGCTGCCTCTACTCGATCTCTATTTTTATTTGACCTGAAGCCAGTTGCACTGATTCCAAAAGAGAGAAAAGGGCCTGACATGGCTTCTATCCCTTCACGCTGGCCTGCTGAAATGATTGATAATTCCCAGGGACTACACTCAGAAGATTAAGTCCTTTTCATTTGGCTCTCTCATACTTATTCTTGGTTTGGGAACTAGACAGCACCCCATTATTTAGCCATGAAAGCAAGGATGTCACTAAAGGTGGCCTCATATTACTGCTTAAAGGCCTATTAGAAATCTCATTTTGCTTTTTGGAGATTCATTGTCATGCAAAGTGGTTCGAGGTTTCATTACTGGTGAAAGCCCTTTGTTGGGCTGGCCCAACCTGTTGTCCCCAGATTTGCAGGTCTCCTTTCCTACTGCTATTCCAAAACAGGAATACTGTTACTTTGAGGATTTCATGACATCAGCAGAGAAAAACATACTTAAGGCAGGGAAATTGCAGCCGAACAGAAAGGCGCCATCAAATCTCCCCTCCGATACAAGTGACAAACTCCACTTTGTTCTGCTGTCCTGACATCGGATTTCCCTGTGGAGCATCAGACAAATGAATACCTGCCAAGTTATTACTGTAAGAATTAATGAAGAGGGCATCTTCTATGATTACGGCTTTTTTCTCCCTCCCCAGTTTTTTCTTCTAGGCAAATGACCTTGTTTTCTTCTATTAAACACGCACAGCTGCGAGACCCTGAATTCCACATCAGTGACCTTCTGAGCTGTCTTCTCTTCCCCTTTTAGGCCACTCCCTGTGCTTCCTGGGCCAAAAGATTCTCAGCAGGAAATGGTCTGTGACCTTGAATGAGTCACTTCACACCTCTGTGCCTCAGTTTCTTTGTTCTAAAAGAAGGATAACCACAGCTAATATTACTTTTATTTATTATCCTTGCTAAGATTGTGAGGATTTAATGAAATAATGTATGGAAAGTGCTTAGGACACTGTGCCAGGCAGAGAGCTCCTTCCACAAACATTTATCAACTACCCACTAGAAATGTCAGTTCTCCCTGGCTTTGACTTCTCTGGTTCTGGAATAATTCCTAAGTGCTGGGACTGCCAAGAGGCGCAGACACGGGCCTGGTCTCTGCCCTCCTGGAGCCTGCAGTCCGGCTGAGGATTAGGGCATTAATTAGATAACCACACAGATTTCTATCTCTGAATTAGGCCAAGGACTAGGAAGGAAAATTACACAGAGCTCCACTGGGTCCTAACCTAAACAAAAAACACCTCTCCATAACACTGGAATGGAGATCAGAAGAAAGAGTTAAGAGTGAACCAGGAGGAGTGTCAGCCCTCTCATCCCCAACCTTAGATTTTGAGCAAGTTAGGAAAAGGTACTCCTACCCCAGGGCAGATGTGACCCCAGGCCATGAGCATGGCTTAGCGGGCAGAGCATGGGCTGGGTTTCAGTGCCCTCTGGCCCATCTGCTGGGTGTCCTTAAACAGCAACCTGCACAGCTATATGGCTGCAGATAGGAGGATATTGGAGGCAGAGGAAAGGCAGGGTCTGCAAAGACCATGGGTGGAAGGGCACTTTTGAAGAGATGAAAAGGGCCACCATGGCTGGAGCACAAGGAGCCAGGCTGATAGGAAGGAAGTCCAGAAAGCTCTCAGTAGATATCAGCTAGTATTAATGCATGATAATATTAGTCTCATAAATCCATTGCCAACACACCAAGGTCTCCTTAGAAACCCCAAGGTCTCTCTAGAAGCCATTGATTTTTAATTAGTGAAGGAGAATTGCTTCAGGGATGTGATTTGTTGGTGTCACACAACTGAGACTTAAAGAATAAGGACAGTGGATGAGTAGAGACATTTGATGTGGAAAGCAGGGAGCTGATGTGTCTCCGGTGGCAAGCCTCCAGCAAAATATGAATGCTCCATTGCAGCCCAGAAAGCCAGATATTAGGTAAGAAGAAGTGAAAAACAAAAACAGAACCAAAAAAAATAAAAAATAAAAAAAGCCACCACATCATGCAAGTGAAAATGGAAACAGGACGTTAGGGAAAGGTTTCTGTCATTTTGAGGGTGTAATTATCTCTCCAAAGAAGTAGAAGACTGTCCTTGACTTGGTCTCTTCGAAAGGACCTGCCCAGCCCAAGACCCAGAACCTGGCAACAACACTGTGCTCCCTAGAAATGGTCTTAATACCCTCAAGGTTCTTCCTGGCTTTGATTTCTTCGATTCTGGAATAATTCAAAGCACACATGTTCATTCAAACAAATATACTGTATGAAGGGTGGGTTGTTGTTGTTGTTTTTAAGTCAGAGTTTAGGGGGAAATAAAACCACACATCCTGGAGAATCACGCATTATTGCCTGATAATGCTTTGCATTCTGTGCCAAGCTGGGCATCTGCGTGTGTTTGCTCAGTTGAGGTCTGGTGTTAGCAGAGCATTGTGAGGGCATCCTGGGCTTTGGGATCAGATGGGTCTGGGCTCAGATCCCTACTAGGCCACCTACAAGCTGTATGACCTTGGGTAGCTTAGTCAACCTCTCTACACAATGGGAGTTAGTATAAATTCAAATGATGGTTGTTATTAGGGAGAGCTCTGAGGCCAGGGCACTTAAGAACCCCTCACTTGCAAAGTCGTTTCCAGGGTTCTTGCCTTGAGATCAGCCTCTATGACCCACATACTTCCAGAAGTTCATTTGTTTGTACTATATCTAAAAAGACTTAACTTGACTTTTCAGCGGTAGCTGTGCTTTAGAGAAACATAAGGAACCAGAATTAAGTCATACTCATAAGATATTGTCAGGAGTTAGTATCTCTATGAAACTTGTAGGGAAAAGAAAAGAAAAGAGCATTTAGCCGTGATTTTTAAATGTAGTATCTGTGATCAAAAATCCCATCACAATCTGCACAATCCAAAAAGAGCAAACAGTATCAACTGACCCAGCACTTGACATATTTTATTGCCTATTAAGATGTAGTAGCAGAACTTAACTTAAAAATATGCTTGGGGTGCCTGGGTGGCTCAGTTGGTTGAGCGTCCGACTTCAGCTCAGGTCATGATCTCACAGTCCGTGAGTTCGAGCCCCATGTCGGGCACTGTGCTGACAGCTCAGAGCCTGGAGCCTGCTTCAGATTCTGTCTCCCTCTCTCTCTGCCCCTCCTCCACTCATGCTTGCTCTCTCTCTCTCTCAAAAAGTAAATAAAAATTTTTAAAAATGTTTTAAATAAATGAAACATTCTTTTTAAAAAATATGCTTGAATTTAAGCCACATTAAATTGTAATGTGCACACAATTTATCAGAGATAAATGCCAATATTTTGTTTTCATTTCCCGTCCATAGGAAGTTGGAAAAAGAGCCCTTTATTAAGTGTCAGTCATAAGGCAGTATTTAAAAGTCGCCCTTGCTGTGTCTCCTGTTTTGTGTCTACACAGCCTTATGTATGTGGCACCTTTAGGAGTAACATGCAGCTTTAGCAACCTGAGCCTTTCAAAGCAGAGCAGGTTAATAGTGATTTAAGATTTTGCTGGTTAAAAGCAAAACAAAACAAAATCCATCTTCGATTTTAAAACAAAACACGCTAACCCAGCTTAAACTTTTCTATCAAAAATGGCATTGTTGCTTTCTAAGAATGGAAATGGATGAGGCACTTAATCAGAGAGGCCATTATGTTGTCAAAGGCCTTGCTGAGACTGAAGGATGGATTCTCAGGGGCATATGACCATTTTATTGCTTTTCAGCCCACGGCCGGCAATGCCACTCTCCCTCCTGCTGACAGAAGGAGAGGCAGCGCTGATCATTCAGTCCTTCTGGAGAGCCTATCTGGTAAGAGTCTTGTGCAATTATGGCGTTTGGCCTGGTGGGGAATTTTTGTGATGCAGAGTGCCCATGGGAAAACTGTTAGATGAATTTGAAACAGAGGGTATTATAGCTAACATCCAAACCTCAGAAATAGGATTCTCTGTAAAATACATCTCAAAGAGTGGTTTAGTATTTTTACCAAAGCTTCTTTTGCAATTATCATGAAAAGTACTCTACAGCCTTTTAATGTTGGATCGACTAGCCTGTATTACCTAAAAAATAATATTATTTACATACAGAGAGCAATACATGTTCATTTTAGAAAAAGAAAATTCAGATAATTCAGTTAGAGCAAAAAAAAAATATTTGAATTGCTGAAACTGTTACCCCAAAATAATCATTGTTGGCATTTTGCTGTAAAACTTTCCAAACCTTAAAAATCTTGATGGGTGAAACAGGTAAAGGGGACTAAGAGTACACTTATCTTGATGAGCACTGAGTCATGTATGGAACTGTCAAGTCACTGTATTGTACACCTGAAACTAATATAACACTGTTATGATAACTAAACGGGACTTAAACATTTTTTTAAAATTTTTTTAACATGTATTCATTTTTGAGAGACAGAGAGAGACAGAGTATGAGCAGGGAAGGGGCAGAGAGAGAGGGAGACACAGAATCTGAAGCGGGCTCCAGGCTGCGAGCTGTCAGCACAGAACCCGATGTAGGGCTCGAACTCACGAACTGCGAGATCATGACCTGAGCCGAAGTCGGACACTCAACTGACTGAGCCACCCAGGCGCCCCTTAAAAGTTTTTAAAATGAATAAATGAAAAATATAAAATTTGAAAAATCTTAGAAGACAGAATAACATATAGACACTTATCATATGCTAGAAGTAACCTTTTCTTTTGAAACTTGTCTTTTGTAGCCATTTTCCGATTGGTTATTCCCAGTTTATCATTATTATAATAAATGCTGTAATACATATCTTTGTGCAGCCATCTTTGCACAATTGTCTGGTTGTTTATGTAGGACAAATTCTAGAAGTGGAATTTCTGGGTCAAAAGGTGAGTTCTTTTCTAAAGCTCCTGATCCATATTGTCATGTGGCCCTTCCAGAGGATGTACTTTGAAAAATTCTTACCAAATATACATATGAGAGTGGCCTGTGTATCTTGTGCTAAAAAGTATACATTCTCCCCAATTTTTTGGCCATACATCAATGTTAAGAAGCTTCCAATAAACATGAAGCTCCTATTCTAGGTAAAAGCGTGTCTCTACCCAAGTCTGAGTGTTAAACATCAATGGAACTAGTTTAGATTTGATTTCAGAGGTGGTGAACATTGCCACAGAGAAAGGTTTCAGTGGACTTACACGGAGGCCAACATCTCCATCCTGACGCTCTCCTCAGAGCTGCTGTAGGAGAAGTAGCCTGAGGTGAACATGCCGGCAAACAGTTGTCCAGGAAGAAATTAGATGAATTCTAATGAGATACCATTAATAAATCAATAAGCAAAATATTTGTTAAATGTTAAATGGGACTGGGGCGCCTGGGTGGCTCAGTCGGTTAAGCATCCGACTTCGGCTCAGGTCATGATCTCACGGTCCGTGAGTTCGAGCCCCGCGTCAGGCTCTGTGCTGACCGCTCAGAGCCTGGAGCCTGTTTCAGATTCTGTGTCTCCCTCTCTCTCTGACCCTCCCCCGTTCATGCTCTGTCTCTCTCTGTCTCAAAAATAAATAAACGTTAAAAAAAAGAATTTAAATGTTAAATGGGACTGTCCTTTCTTATAAGCAGCTTACTGTTTCAGGCAATATTGTCCAGTGAACACAGGGCTCAAAGTCAAGTGTGAAGGTTAAATAATAGACTTGCACATTATAAGGAGCAGTTTGTTCCCAAAGAGTTAAAAGCCAGTAATAAAACCCTCTGTGATATGTCACGATTTAGATATAATTTTTAACTACATAGGTTTTCAGCATTTCCTACATATTTTATAGATATGGTCTTTGTCCTTCTGTAATTGAACATCAGCAGGTTAGTTTAAGTCCAGTGATGTCCAACCAAGGTGAAAGATTCCTGGCTTCCACATGCTTTTTGAGTTCCACCTTTGCCGTCAGCATATTTCATTTGTGAGACTTGAACTTGTTACACTAGCATTAGCAGTTTTACTTTTCCATTTTCTGATCCTTTTAATGAGACAGTAAGAGCCAAATGCAATAAAATAGTGATTTGCAGATTTTGTTTCTTTAAAACAGCAAAACCCTTTCTTCAAATCATACTCAGAAGCCTAAATTGTAATCACTGTGTTAACAGTAAAAGGGGATGTTCTGTCCCTGATTCTCCCATGCAGTAATAAAACTTTCACACACAGGGGGCCTGTGTTATGGACACAGCATGAGAAACATAGAGATCTTCCTCTACTTATCATGGAGTTACATCCTGATAAACCTAGTGTAAGTTGAAAATGCATTTAATATACTTAACCCACTGGACATCATAGCTTAGCTTCGCCTAACCTATAAATGTGCTCAGAACACTTACATTAGCCAACAGTTGGGCAAAATCATCCCCCACAAAACCTATTTTATAATAAATTGTTGAATATATCATGTAACTTATTGAATACTGTACCGAAAATGAAAAACAGAATAGTTGTTTGGGTGCAGAATTATCCTCAGTGTATTGGTTATTGACCCTGGGATCACATGACTGACTGGGAGCTGTGGTTTGCCGCCTCATGAGAATATTGTATAGCATATCACTCACCCGGGAAATGATCAAAATTCAAAATTCGAAGTACAGTTTCTACTGAAGGCATATGGCTTTCATGCCATCATAAAGTGTAATCGTAAGTTGGGGACTGTCTGTAGTCCTTAAGACAGCTGAATTCAGCTTATCACACCAACAAACACTGCCATATAAAAAGATGTCAAAGTGGCCCAATATTTAACCATGGCTATAGTACCATCATCACACTAGTGATATAGTACCTCACAGTACAAAAGATGTTTACAGGTCAGTGTATACTGTGTGAGAGTTCAGGTTGTTCAAACCCAAACATCTCCTGTGCTAAAAATATATTACTAAAGGTCACCAAGTGAGGGGGGAAGATCCTAAGTTGTTGCCAGAAGGAAAAGAGGTCTGATATATGGGATGACCTTGGAAGCTTCCACAAAAAAGGAAGGACTTGGTCTTAGCCTTAAAAGAAAGATGGAACACTGGATTGTCTGCTGGGACCAAGATGATATCCCAAGGGGAGGAAATTGCGTGTGTGTGTGTGTGTGTGTGTGTGTGTGTGTGTGTGTGTGTGTGAAATACCAATTTTATTAAAACATACTGTATATTTTTATGGGGTGCTTGCATGGCTCAGTCATTTAAGCATCCACCTTCAGCTCAGGTCATGATCTTGTGGCTTGTGAGTTCAAGCCCTGTGTAGGGCTCTGGGCTGACAACTCAGAGCCTGAAGCCTGCTTCAGATTCTGTGTCCCCCTCTCTCTCACTGCTCTTCCCCTGTTCTCTCAAAACTGAATAATCATTAAAAAATTTTTTTAAATGTACTGTATATTTTTGACAACTACACACACACACACACACACACACACACACACACACACAAAGGATAGGAAAATATCTAAAGGGAAACAGAGCAATCTGACAACAGTGGATAACTTGGAGTAGCTGGGAAAAATTTGAGAGACCGTAGCCTTATATACACTGAACAGTTTTTACAAACAGGCTATAGTATAATTTTCATTAATTTCAAATTTATTTAAACCATGTTTTCATGTCAATGGATGCAGAACACAAAATCCAATGATTTTGTTATTTATAATTAATAAATTAACCATTAATTTATAATTAGTAAACATGATTATATTACATTATGATAAAAACACTCAATAACTTCATAAAGGGTGGTCATAAAACTCCACAGCTAATATATTTAGGGAGAAAGGACTGGGTGTTTTCCCCCTAAAATTGGGAACAAGACAAAGATATTCTCTCTACTTTAGTTCAACATAGCACTAGAGGTTTTAGCTAAGGAAATTAGGCAAGAAAAGAAATAAAAGCCATCGGATTGGAAAGGAGGAAGTAAAACTATCTCTATTCTCTGTACAGACATGATCTTCCATACAGAAATTCCTAACTAATTCACACACACACACACACACACACACACACACACACACACACAAAAGAACTAATAAACAAGTCCAACAAGGTTGCAGGATACCAAATCAATATACAAAAATCAAGTGTATTTGTACATACTTAGCAATGAACAATCTGAAAATGAAATTAACAGAACAATCCCATTTGTAATAGCATCAAAAAGAATAAAATACTTAGGAATAAATTTAACAAAAGCACTGCAAGACTTACGCTGGAAACTGCAAAGAAATTTTAAAAGACCCAAACAAAAGAAAAGACAGCCTGTGTCCATTGATTGGAGGACCTGATGTTGTAAAGATGGCTGGCGGTACAATTTGATCTGCAGGTTCAATGCAATCTCTATCAAAATCCCAACTGCCTTTTTTTTTTTTTTTAACAAATCAACAAGCAGATCCTAAGTTTCATGTGAAAATATAAGAGACCCCAAATAGACAAAACAGTCTTGAAAAAGAACAAAGTTGGAGGACTCACACTTCTCTATTGGAAAACTTACTATAAAGCTACAGTAACCAAATGCTAGTGGCATAAGGACAGGCATAGATCAATAGAATAGAATTGAGAGTCCAGAAATAACCCCTTAAATTTATGGTCAATTGATTTTTTTTTTTT